AAGTGGTACTGAAAGACACAACTGTACCATATACAATACTTGCTTGCGCATAATATATTTTGTTCCCAAATATCATTAGTTTGTAGTTAACTGAAAATCAACTCAGACTCTTTAATATTCTCCCTAGTCTAGCATCATATTATCTTATCTCCTGTACTCCCATATGAATATTAAGCTGTAGTTTCTAAAGCAAACATCAGCTACAAACACATCAAAGGATCTAAGCAAGCTATTAAGTAACTGAGGTAATTACACTATTCTATACAAAATTATCACAACAACAAAAACAGAAGTTGCCTGAAGATAGTAAAATTATTCTATTTAATTAACAGCTATTTCTACAGCATGCTATTCAAAGGCTACTAATTACTTGTGTCAGTATATATAGAATCATACATTAAGTAGTGTTATAACCAAAAAAAATCAAAAATTAACTTTCTTGAAAAAAAAGGATTTGCATCTTAAATGTATACATTTAATAAATCTTGTCAAACCAGGCACCAGTTGTTCATACCTATAATTCTGTTACGCAAGAGGCTGAGATCTGACAATCTCAGTTGGAAGCCAGCACTATCAGGCATATCAATGAGACTTCACTCCAAATAACTAGCAAAAAGTTGGATCTGGAAGGCATGGCTCAAATGGTGGCTCACCAACTTGGCACCCAAAAGAAACTCTTTTCTAAGTTAATGAACTGAGAAAGAAAACACAAGTGATAGAAAAAATTTCAATACTTAAAATGTACTGAGGCATACTCTCAAATAAAAGTTTATTAAATTTATATTCTTCTTTTGTCTTAAGCTCATATTTCATACTATCTTATAAAGAATATTTGCAACCAGGTGCTGGTGGCTCACATCTGTAATTCTAGCTACTCAGAAGGCTGAGATCTGAGGATCACAGTTCAAAGCCAGCCAGGACAGGAAAGTCTGTGAGACTCTTATCTCCAATTAACCACCAGTAAACTGGAAGTGGCTTTGTGGCTCAAGTGGTAGAGCACTAGCCTTGAGCTGAAGAGCTCAGGGACAGCACCAAGGCCCAGCGATCAAGCCCCACAACTGACCCAAAAAAAAAAAAAAAAAAGAAAAGAAAGAAAGAGAGACCTAAGAATTATCTTTTAAGGAGAATATATTCAATTATGGGTTGATTAAACTATGGCCTAAAGGACAAATGCAGACTTCTGCTTTGTAAAATAAAATTGTACTAGAATACATTTGTGTAAACACAGTAGGATATGGCTTCTTTGTGTTTATGACAACAGAATTGAGTACTTAAGAAAAATTGCATATGACCTATAAAGCCTAAAATATCAGACAGATCCCTCACAATAGTTGCTGAAGTCATACACCAGTAACTTACACATGTATTCTAGGAGATCCAGATGTACAGTTCAAAGCCAGTCCAGGCAGAAATCTCCATTAAAAAAATTTTTTACATTATTTGTACACAATGGAGATTTCACTGTGACATTTGCACACATTTAGGCTAATATAATCCCAATCAATTTGGTCCCCTCCACCTCTCTCCCTTATCCTTCTCTTCCCAATACAACATCAATCAGCCACGTTATTTTATTTTCACAGATGCAAGAAAGCTATTTTGGTTGAAATAGCTTATTCATCCTCATTCAGTCTCCCAGTTAGTTCAAATACAACCACTGGTCCCTGCCCCAATAACAGAACCTATTTCTCTTTCCCCAAACCTCTACCCCACTAATGATCAACAGTTCTCATTGAGATTCTTTAAACTACATTCAAGCCCAAATGCAATGTGTTATAAAATTATTCATCTTCCATCCTTTCTTTCCCCCTTCCCTTTTCCTTATCCTCTAAATAGTCTACCAGTCAGAATCAGGTCTTTTCTCTCCCCTCTTTTCTTTTCCTCTCCTTTTTCCTTCCCTCCCCTCTCCCTATATTTCTTGGCACATAGGTGTATGTACGCATGTGCATATCTATGACCATGTATGTCTTCCAGATGTAGCTTCTACATTTGTGAGGCTTACCTCACTCAAGATATCCTCCAATTCTATTTGCCTGAAAATTACATGATTTCATTTTGCTTTATAGCTATATATTATGCCACAGTGTATGTATGTATAAGAATATGTATGTGCATAAGGATATATATGTATGCATATATATGCATATATACACACCATATATCCTAATGCATCTGTCTGTTGTTGGGCACATTTGCTGATTCTATCATTTGCTATAATAGGTGTGCTGCCATAAATATAGTTATTCAAGTATATTTTTTCTATATCGATTTTTACTATCTTTGGATATATGCCTATAGTGGTATGGTAGATTAATAGCAAAGATCTATTTTTAGATTTTTGAGGAATCTTCACAATGATTTTCATTATGACTACACTAGTTTACAATCTCACCAACAGCGTATAAGGGTTTCTTTTCCCCTCTCACCAGCACTTGTTGTTTAATGTATGCCACTCTGACGAGGATGAGATAAAACCTTAATGTAGTTCTGATGTACATCCCTTTAAGGATGAACATTTCTTCATTCTATCCATTGGCCATTTGTATTTCTAATTTTGAGGACTGTCTTAAAATTAGCTTGCTTGCACATTAGTTAACTGGACTATTTGTTCTCATGTTGTTTAATTTTTTTAGATCTTTGTATATTCTCCATACTAATTTTTTACTAATTTTACCTAAAATCTCCCATTCTGTGGTTCATCTCTTGGCTCTGATAATTGTTTCCTTTGATGTGCAGAAACTCTTTGATTTAATGTAATCCCATTTGTCAGTTCTTGCTCCCATTCTCTAGGCATCTGCAATGTTAATCATAAACTATTTATCTGTGTTTATAACTTTTGGGATTTTCTGTTTCCCTGTAGTAGATTTAAAGGTTCAAGTGTTATTTTGAGCAGTTTGATCCCTTTGGAGTTGATTTTTGTATGTATAAGGAGAGATAATGCTCAAGTTTGTTTCCTTCAAGTAAATACCCAATTTTCCCACTACCATTGATTAAATAGGCTGTCTTTCCTCCACTATGCATTTTTTGCTGTTTTATCAAATAACAGGTGGCTGTAGCTGGGTAATTTTATTCCTCAGCATACTATACTGTTCAGCATATATAGAATATCAGCATATAACATTTATATTGGTCTTCAGGTCTGTTTCTGTGCAACTACCAAGCTATTTTTGGCTCTGTAGTATAACCTGAAGTCTAGTATTGTGCTATCTCCAGCATTATGGTTTTTTTTTCTTTTTACTTAAAATTGATTTTGCTATTTTAAATCTTTTATGCCTCCATATAAATTTTGGACTAATATTTCTAATTCTCTGAAGAATGATAATGGTATATTAATGGGTATTGCAGTGAATCTGTAGTTTCCTTTTTTTATTGCAATTATAAAAGTGATGATACACAGAGGGGTTACATCAGTGATGCAACAATAGGTACATTTCTTTTTAGACAATGTCCCTTTCCTCTGTAGTTTCATTTTGAAGAATTATCATTTTCACAATACTAACTCTGCCAATACATGATCATGAAAGGTCTTTCCATCTTCTGATGTCTTCTTTAAGGTCTTACAGTTTTCACAGTAGAGGTCTTTTACTTCTAAATTTTTTGAGGCTACTATGAATGGAATTATCTTCCTGACTTCTTTCTCAACCTATTCACTACTGGTTTATAGATAAGCTACTGAGCAGGATTTTTTATCTTGCTATATTTCCTTATCAGTTTTAGAAGTTTTTGGTGGAGTCTTCTCTGCTTTCACTATATATGATGTTGGTATAATTTGTGGAGGGGAAGGGAAAAAACAAATTGTTAAAACATGGATACAGGAGGACCCATTGCAACAATGAGATGTACAAGTCGTTATGTCAACAAATGAACTTTACAACTTTGGTGGGGGGGATGGGGGGGGATACGAAGGGACGGGAAGGGGAAACAAAGCAGGAGGCTATAATGCTTGATAAGAAATGTGCTCATTATCTTACCCACGTAATTGTAACCCCTCTGTACAGTATTTTCACAATAAAAATATATTTAAAAAAAAGAATAGGAGCATATCATCCACAAATAAGGATAACTTTTCCTTCTTTTTTTTTTCTATTTGAATCCCTTTTATTTTCTTGTCCTGTCTTAACTCTCTGGCTATGAACTATGTATTATATTACATAAATGTGGGAAGAATGGACATTCATGTCTTATACCTGACTTTGGGAAAATGATTTCAGTTTAACTATTTAACATGATACTGGCTATATGTTTGTTATATACAGCCTTTAAGTTCAGGAATGTTCCTTCTATTCCTCACTTCTTTAGAACTTTTATCATAAAAGGATGCTTTCTGATGCTTTCTCTGCTTCAAAAGTGATGATTTTGTGATTTTTGCCCTTGGTCCTGTTTATGTGATGTACTACGTTTATTGATACATGTATGTTGAACCATCCTTGCATGTCTGAGATTAAAACAACTCAGTCATGGTAACTGTTATTTTTTAATGTGCTGAATTTGGTTTGCAAACATTTCATTGAGAATTTCTGCTTATTAATTAGCTATGATTGCTTCTTGTCTCTAGATTTATGGAGAAATTTTTCAAGATGGATACTCCCTGTACTTCTCCAGGATACAAAGCTAAATCAGTCACAGCATGGAGTGCCAAGAACCAGGTCCAAACTCCTTGCCACTTTTATTCTCTTATAGTTGCTTTTCTGTAATTTTCTGCAGCCCTATTCCTCACCCCGCCACCTCCTTTGTACTTTCTGTTTTCTACCACTCTTTCTCTCCTTGAATCTTGTCTTTGTGTCACTGGATTCTTTCCATCCATGGAGTGAAAATGGCATATAGCTCTAATCTACTCTCTTTTCCCAGCCTCTCAAAAGCTACATAATTTTTTGAATCATATTTATTTTACTGTTTATGTCAGAAATTCACACTCCCAAGAATAAACTTTCACTTACAACAACGAAATGTTCTTTGAGCATTAGGATTATCTTTATAATTATTTTATAAATTTAACTTACCGAGTACCATCTGCTTTCCAGCTCACTTTATAGGGCTTCTGTTCTAAAAGTTTAATGTTTTGCTTGTCCATGGAAACAGGCTGTGCTCCAGGGAATCCAGACCTTAAGACATAATATTACTGTCATGACTAGAATCCATACAAAGCAATGCATGTATTAAACCAATTTCAAGATGATACTCACATTTATCACGCTCTCCCTATCATGAGATTTATTACAAATAGAATACTACAAAAAATGCTAATGAAAGATTATCATTGTCTTAACATTTTAGAATCCAAGTTTATATGGCTATAAATTACCACTGCTATACTAAATTACTGAACTAATTCTAAAAATATTAGTATGTATGAGCTAAATAGTATATGACAGGTATATTTACAAGTCACTCACTATAGGAAAAAGTTTAAATTTTGACTTAAATAAATTACACAATTTTGGGACTGGAAATGTGGCTTAGTGGTTATAGTGCTTGCCTAGCATGAAGCCCTGAGTTCAATTCCTTAGTACCACATAAACAGAAAAAGCCAGAAGCAATGCTGTGACTCAAGTAGTAGAGTGCTAGCCTTAAGCAAAAGAAACTCAGAGAAAGTACCCAAGCCCTGAGTTCAAGCCAAAAAATATATGTATATTATAAAATTTTGACCTCATTTTTCCATCATAACATTACCAATGCGATATTACTCTGCAGAGTTGATAAAATTCTACTCCAAAAATGCCCAGAAGTATAAATGAGAAAAATGTAAAGCAAGATTAAGGTATAATGGCAAAGGTTTCACACAACATTAAGGCAGTATTATTTCTTCATTATTTTCATCTTTTATCTAAAATTTTTGTTAGTTCATTTATCAGATATGCACCAATAATAAAAGTATTTTACATTAGGAATTTGCATTAGGAACTTTTAACAATAATGATCTTGTTTTTCACATTCAAGCTTCATTACAATTTTCTGCCATAGCCCAAGAATAAAAGGTAACTGACAAGAGTAACAACTCTCTCTTTAATTCTCTCCAATGAATTGTCTGGTTAAGTATTTCCAAAACATGCTAGGGAGCAGAAACATATTCAAAGTTTCCCATTATTATAGAAACATGAGGCATATTCGAGTTGTAACTCTTCTCCTAAATAAATGAATTAGACCAGCTGAAACCATAATAGGCAGTAGTATACTCAAAGATATAAAACAAATATTACATTGTTACAAAATTAATTTTCTATTACTGTTTTAGGAATATATGTGAGTAATCTTGTTATTAAAATGATTATCTTTAAAAATAATGTATTTTAAGCACTGTAAGTAAACATACCAACTTTAAATACAAAGAAGGTATGTCAATGTCAATATTAATTTAAGCGTAGCAGAGTTTGATTTAAACCCTAAAACATGTGTTTCTTACCCTTCCCAGCTGCAGAACTGATGACACTTCTGCTGTACCTCTCCTAACTTAGGTTGAGTGGTTACTTGAGTTACACCTTTAACAGTTATACCTTCCAAAAAAATAGCACCCTTTAAAATAAAAAGAAAGAAAATATTTTAATAAAGGCCAATTCATTTACAAAGAAAAAAACTGGTTATTTTCACAAACCTGATAAGTCAGAACAACAGAAATGCTTTCCTCTACAGACATGGTAGCACATAGCTGTACTCCCAGCACTGAAGGAGAAGATGGAGAATGCAAGGTCTTCCGGCTACTTAAGGAAGGGACGGAAAGAGAAAGGGAAAAGGGGAGAAGAGAGGGAATGAAGAAGAAATGGGGAAGGAGAAAGAAGGAAGAGACAAGTGTGAGAAAGAGGTGGAGGAGACAAAAGAATGGTGAGGGCAGGGGCTGGGAAGGTGGCTCAGTGGTAGAGCGCTTGCCTTGCATGCTCAAGGCCCTGGGTTCGATTCCTCAGCACCACATAAGCAAAAAGAAAAAAACCGGAAGTGGTGCTGTGGCTCAAGTGGTAGAGCGCTAGCCTTGAGCTGAAGAGCTGAGGGAGAGCTGAGGGACAGTGCCCAGACCCCACGACAGGACCAAAAAAAAAAAAAAAAAAGAATGGTGAGGGCAGAGATAATCCAAAAGGCTTTATAAACTCTCCTGGGCTTGTATACTAGTTTTCCATAATCAGAATATGATTTTTCAGTGTACATAAATAGCATGGTGTTTCCATAATGCTGCCAAAGCACTCCTCAAGCAATTCTCATTAACTGCAACTGTAACAGTAACTTACCTACTGTCACTGAGCCTACCACAGAATTTGACATTTTATATTTTTCTCTAATCTTTGCATAATAAAGATTAAAGTATATTATGTTATATACTTCGTAGATAAACAAGGCATGATTATTTTTTACTCAAGGGATAAAGAACAAAACTTGAACTCAGACATCTATGGTAGATGGAAGGATGGGAGTGTCATTAGTGAGATACAGATTTTAAGAGGATTAAGTACCCAATATTTGTACCTTTTTAAACTAGAATGAAAGCCTAACAATAGAAAAGGTGGGCAAGGTTTATCACTGGATATATGAACATGAAATTAAGCATGACTTTCAATAACATTTTAATCTAGGAAATTTTGTTCAGGACTAAAAATGTGGCTTAGTGGTTGAGTGCTTGCCTAGCATGTATGAAGCCCTAAGTTCAATTTCTCGATACCACATTTTTCAAAAAGCCAGAAGTGGTGCTATGGCTCAAGTGATAGAGTGCTAGCCCTGAGCAAAAGAAGTTCAGGGACAAGCTGGGCACCGGTGGCTCACGTCTATAATCCTAACTACTCAGAAGGCTGAGATCTGAGGATCATGGTTCAAATCCAGCCCGGGCTGAAAAGTCGGGGAGACTCTGATCTCCAATAAATCACTAGAAAACCGGAAGTGGCACTGTGGCTCAAGAGGTAGAGCGCTCACCTTGAGCTGAAGAGCGCAGGGACAGTGCCCAGGCCCAGAGTTCAAGCCCCATGACCGACATAAAAAAAAAGTTCAGGGACAGTGCCCAGGCCCTGAGTTCAAACCCCAGGACTGGAAAAAAAATTAATTAAATTAAATTTTTAAAAGTCACTGAGAAGTACATGAGGCAGCTTATTTCATAACAACCCTATTTTTGAAATATTTACAGAAATGAAGCATAAACAGTATTCATATATCAAAGAACACTGACATAGGCAGGAACTTCTTGAGTTCCAGGGGCTCAGCAAATTAGAGAGAGAATAGCCAAATAGGGTTACATCATGCTAAAATATTTCTGCACAGCAAAAGAGACATAGTAAGCTAAAAAAACATCCTACAAATAGGACATCTTTACCAGCTACACATCCAGCAAGGGCTAACATTCAGAATAACATAAGGAACTGAAGAAACTTATCCCCCCAAAAAATCAGTAACCCAATTGATAAATGGGCAAAGTAGCTAAATACATACTTCTCAGAAGAAGCAACAAGAATGGCCAATAAACATATGAGGAAATTCTCAACATCTCTGGGCATAAAGGAAATGAAAATCAAAACAACACTAAGATTCCATCTCACTCCAGTAAGTGCCTCTAGCTGGGCACTAATGGCTCACTCATATCTGTAATCCTAGCTACTCGGAGGCTGAGATCTTAAGGATCATAGTTCAAAGCTAGCCCCAGCAGAAAAGTTTCCATGAGACTCTTATGGAGATCTCCAATTAACCACTCAAAAACCAAAAGTGAAACTATGGCTCAGAGGTACAATGCTAACCTTGAGCAAAAAAAGCTCAAAGACAGAGCCCAGGCCCTCTGAGTTCAAACTCCATGAGTGACAAAAAAGAAAAAGAAAAAAGATTGACCATCAAGAATATCAACAATAACTAATGCTGGCAGGAATGGGGGGGGGGGGGGGGGAAGAACCCTATTACACTAGGTGGGAATGTAAACTAGTGTAACCACTTTGGTACGTAGTTTGGAGATTCCTCAAAAAACTGAACATAGAACTACACTATGGATACCAATCTTGGGCATCTGCCCAGAACACTGTAAATCAGGATTCGGTAAAGACACTTGCACAACCAAATTCCTTACTGTACTATAATAATATATTATGGTCATTGATGTACTATAGATAATATGTCACTTGCAGGGAAATGGATGGACATAGAAAAAATTTTATTAAGTAGCGTCAGGCTCAGAGAGACAAATGACATGTTTTCTCTCATATGTGGAAGTTAGATCTAAAATATAGGCAAACATGAAAACATATATAGGGTTATATGCATATATATGTGTGTGTGTGTGTGTGTGTGTGTGTATATATATATATATATATATATATATATATAAACAAATTGACTAAACGATGATATACTCAAGGAGAAGTCCAATAATGCAACTCCTCTGAAAACTAAGCAACTGTTCAACAAAATACCATCAAACTGAAACATGTTTGATGATTTGGGGGCTGCTGGGGGGGGGGGCAAGGAGCCAAGACAAGAGGAGGGACATGAATGAAGGGAGGAAGAGTGAGCAAATACAGTCATTATACTCAATGTACAATGTGTAAAAACTGAACTATGTAAATTAAGATTATGGATGGGATAGGGAAACAATGGAAAAGGTAACCCTGATCAAGATGAACTGTACTCATAATGTTGACTTGTGGGTTTGAAACCTTTTGTACAACTACTAAAAACACAGTACTAATAATAAAACACTATTGAATATTTTAAAGAATAAAAAACTAATGTAGATTTATGCAAAATTACTTTCTGACCCCATAAGAATGCTGACATCAATATCAAAACAATTCTACCTGTTAATATAATTATGGAATAAAAGATAAGGTCTACAAGTTGAAAGATCAACCTTCAAGCTAAGACTTGGCCTCTCAAGCCACTATTCAGGATTAGATGGGAAAAAGCATTTAATATTCAGTACCCATATATCCCCAACAAGTATAGAAGAGTCCTAATTCTTTCCTGGAAACCATAGTCTAGCTTCTGCCTCTAACTCTTAAACAATCTGTATAGTTATTGAATCTTTATTCTACTTTGCATGCCTTAAATAACTATGATTATGATGGTTTATGAGCCAAAGGATCAATAGTAAAGTACCTCTCCTATTATATCATTATCTCTGTTGACCAGTCAATGAAATTTCTAATGCCAGAAATGATGGCACAGACCTGTAATTCTAGCATTCTGGATACTAAGTGCAAGTTCAAGGACAGCTTGATCCACACAGTTTTAGATCACTCTGGGTACACAGAACAAAAAAAAAACAAAAAACTAAAAATGAAATAAAAACATTTCTACCATTAATATGATAACTAATGGAAGAAATAAAGTTTTATGAAAAGGAAGTTCAACTGGGTAGATGAGATTTGTAACATATTTAGTTATTAAGAATACTCAATATCCTCATAAAATTAACAGGCATAACTTAATTACAAATAACACTTAGCAAGTTCTTGATTCAACAGTTATTCTAAAGTAGTTTTCTTTTTAATTTTACATGAACACATCCAGTATCATTTTAAAAAGCATGTTTTGTAAGGAAATTTAAGAAATAAATGTTGATTTCTGAAATGAGCAAAACAAAAAACAAAGGCAAAATTAGCAAGTCTTAAAAACATTAACATGTGCCCAGGCCCAAAGTTCAAGCCCCACGACAGACCAAAAAAGAAACTAACATAACTTCTTCAATGTAGTTAATACGTGGATAGGTATATATAGATAATATGTTCAACATTAAACCAAATGCTTTCTCAATATTACCACAGAAATATTTAATAAGTATGCAGATAAACAGTTGCTCAGTATGTAATCCAGTAATGTGAGCATTTTCTCTCTGTTTTGTCCCTTTGCCATAACACTTCTACCAAGTCTATCTGCAGAAGTTTTGCTTTCCCTACTCTACTCCCCAATATCCCCGGGGTTAATTCTTTCTTTCAATAAGATTCTTTCTGCGAGGAACTGGTGATTCATGCCTTTAATCCTAGCTACTCAGTAGGCTAAGATCTGAGGACCAAGGTTCAAAGCCAGCCTCAATAGGAAAGTCCATGAGACTCTATCTCCAATTAACCACCAGAAAACAGGAAGTGGAATTGTAAAAGTAACAGAGTGCAGCTGGGCACTGGTGGTTCACACCTATAATCCTAGCTACTCAGGAGACTGAAATCTGAGAATCACAGTTCAAACCCAGCCCAAGGCAGGAAAGTCCCTGAGACTCTTTTATCTCCAATTAATCACCAGAAAACCAGAAGTGGTGCTGTGGCTCAAGTGGTAGAGTGCTAGCCTTGAGGTAAAGAGCTCAGGGACAGAGCCCAGGCCCAGAGTTCAAGCCCCACAACTTACAAAAGAAAAAGAAAGAGTAGTAGAGGGCTGGCTCAGTGGTAGAGTGCTTGCCTTGCATGCATGAGGTCCTGGGTTCGATTCCTCAGCACCACATAAGCAGGAAAAAAAAAGCCGGAAGTGGCTCAAGTGGTAGAGTGCTAGCCTTGAGCTGAAGGGCTGAGGGACAGCGCCCAGGCCCAGACTTCAGGCCCCACGATCGGACCAAAAAAAAAAAAAAAAGAGTAGTAGAGTGCTAGCCCTGAGCAAAAGAGCTCCTGGACAGTGCCCAAGCCCTGAGACTGAGCCCCACAACAGACAAAAAAAAAAAATTCTTTCTGATCATATCTGAACATCGATTCATATTTTCTGGGGAGAAAAGTGGAGGGAAGGGAAACAAGCCTAAACAGTTCATACTCCTCCATACTCCACTAGTCATTATTCTTATGATCTTTAAGCATACTGTGGTAATATATCCAAGCTGTAAGTATAACCATTATATTGAGTCCCTTTCATCATTTCATCTGGATATACTAATAAAAAGTAATTATTTTAATCAATGTAAACTATTTTCAAAAGGAGTAAGTTACTTTAGAAATCATTTCTATGATCCATAGCAATTTCTATTTTTCAGTGACCTTAGTCTTAAAGCTTAAAATGTGTAAATATAATTAAAACAATGTTTTACAAACAAGAAACTTGGAGAAACACTCAAAATAACTTCTACATGATTTATATAAAACAAGGCATTACTAATTAGCTGTACTGATTACTAATAAGCTGTACTGTTTATTGTTCAATCATAATAAGCCACATACCTTATTACTAATAATTAATTTCCTCCATACTTTCCATCCTTCCCCTTTAATCTACACCAAACAGGTGTGTATACAAGCACAACCGATATTATTTCTCTCAAAAATTCTCCTATTCCCAAAGAGATAACTCTCAGTATTTTTGGTAGACCTTTTAGTTCTAGAAGATAATAAAGCTTGTCTAACAAAAAAAAAAAGAGAGAGTTTTCTCAGTTTAATATCATGGAAAGTGTGAAAACACCATCTAGGAAAGAATTCATATGTAAAATAATTTTAACTGTTTGATAATTTTGTAAAGTATTAGTATACATTCTTCTCAAATATTTACTTTCACGATCTCACAATACTGCTTTGTAAAAAGCAGTATTCTTTGTAAAGAAGTATTCTCAATATATTATCTAAGAGTTCTTTAGTTTACCTAAGAAATAAAACAGGATGAATTTTTCTCTTAAAAAAGACAGCTTCTAGGGGCTGGGAAGGTGGCTCAGTGGAAGAGCACTTGCCTTGCATGCCTGAGGCCCTGGGTTCAATTCCTCAGCACCACATAAGCAAAAAGAAAAAAGCCAGAAGTGGCGCTGTGGCTCAAGTGGTAGAGCACTAGCCTTGAGCTGAAGAGCTGAGGGACAGCGCCCAGGCCCAGAGTTCAGGCCCCACAACCGGACCAAAAAAAAAAAAAAGAATGTTTGGGAAGGGTAAACAAAGAAGGAGGCTACAATGCTTGATAAAAATGTACTCACTGCCGGGCACTGGTGGCTCACGCCTGTAATCCTAGCTACTCAGGAGGCTGAGATCTGAGGATCGCGGTTCAAAGCCAGCCCGGGCAGGAGAGACCGTGAGACTCCTATCTCCAATAAACCACCAGAAAACCGGAAGTGGCGCTGTAGCTCAAGTGGTAGAGCGCTCGCCTTGAGCTGAAGAGCTGAGGGACAGCGCCCAGGCCCAGAGTTCAAGCCCGACGACCGACAAAAAAAAAAAAAAAAAAATGTACTCACTATCTTGCCCATGTAATTGTAACCCCTCTGTACAGTATTTTCACAATAAAAAAAAGAAAAAAATTATAAAATTTAAAAAAAAAAGACAGCTTCTGACAGGTGCCAGTGGCTCATGCCTATAATCCTAGTTACTCAGCAGGCTCAGATCTTAGGACTACATTTCAAAGCCAGCCCAAGCAGAAAAATCTGTGAGACTCTTATCTTCAATTAGCCACCAGAAAACTAGAAGTGGCACTGTAGCTCAAAGTGGTTGAGCGCTAGCCTTGAGCAAAAGAGCTCAGGGACAGTATCCAGGTCTCAAGTTCAAGCCCCACAACCAACAAGGGGAAAAAAAAAAAAAAAAAACACCAGCTTCTTGGCTATCAAGAAGCTTTAGAAATAGCTAGGCATACTGGTATATTCCCAGCACTCAGATTAAAGCAGAGGGACTGAAACATTCCACATCAACATATACTACATAGCAAAACTTTATTGGGGGGAGGGAGGAATAGAAGACCTTTTAAAAACAGCCACAATGAGCAGGTAGGTGGTACATACCTGTAATCCCAGCACTTAAGAGGCTGAGGCAGAAGAATTTCAAGTTCTAGATCAGTCTGAGCTCAATTAAAAAAAACTTGTCTAGGGGAGTGAGGAGGGAGAGGAAAAGAAGAAACTAAAATGAAACAATTTTATAAATCTATCTAAAAAAACACTGTCAACATCCCACCTTACTCTCCCAAATTCCAATATGTTTACAGAAGAAGGTAAAAAATATTACGTTATATTTTAACATTACCAGTTTTAACCTTTCTTTTCTCCTTTTGCCAAAAGAAGCACTTGACCCAGGTTCTGATTCTTTCTTTCCATCTTCATCTTCATCTTCTTCTTCATCATCTTCAAAACACCAATCTGGCAATAGAGGTGGTGGTGGTGCTTCCTCTATATCACCATAGCGACGAAATAATTCCTTTAAGTAATCACCCTTATAGATCCCTGGAGGTCTGGCTTGGGCAAAAGTAGCAACTGCTGCTTCAATACTATAAAAAATAAACACCATGCAAATATTCACTGTTCTCCACTTGTGCAAACTTATCAAATTTATTAATATTCAGGACACCATAAAAAATAAGACAGGTATATAAAATGGACATACATAGATTTCAATCTCAAGGCATTCAATTAAGAGAAACTGAATTTGAGACAGTTTCAATATTAGAGACACTAATAATTCCTCAACTCTACATTTCTATGAGTTTATCATAGAGGTGTGAATAGCGCTGCTGAAGAATGTAAATAAAACCTCTAAGGTAGGGAGCTGGGAAGGTGGCTCAGTGGTAGAGTGCTTGCCTTGCACGCAGAGCCCCTGGGTTCAATTCCTCAGCACCACATAAGCAGAAAAAACCAGAAGTGGCTCTATGGCTCAGGTGGTAGAACACTAGTTGAGCTGAAAAACTGAGAGACAGCGTCCAGGCCCAGAGTTCAGACCCCAGGACTGGGGGAGGAGGGAGGGAGAGGAGGGACTGACCTCTAAGGTTAAAGGTTGAGGCTTTAAAACAGCAGTAAACAAAAAGTGAACACTAGATGTGAACAAAAAATAAAAGCATATTGTTTTTCAGAAACATCCAAAGGATCCAGGACCTAAGAGTACAAGTCACAAAAGAGAGGTAAGCATTGCTGAGTATAACACAGGAGTCTAGAGTTACTGTGTAGAGCTTCTGAATGGCCAGAGCTGAAAAGTCCATGAGGTAAAGAACTACTGTGGATGAATAAAAAGGAAAATGTACAATCTGGTATGTATTTTTGACAGATTTTGTTCAGAAAGGATGAATAGTGTAAGAAGCTTCATGAACATAATGACCTTTGATTAATTAATGAAAAAAAATTATATTAGTAATATCCCATTCATGTAAGACTCTAATCTCTCAAAATCTAAAAATATATTTCACAAATAACATTATGTCCATAAAGATGTTGATTATTTTAAATACCCTGTTCCAAACATATTTCCTTCACATAACACTGTAAGCTCTTCCTAGTATTTATATGGAAGGTACTATCTAAAAGGGAAATAACAGTGATTTCCAAAAGAGAATACAAACAAAATGCCAGAAGAATCTGCCTCTGATAATTCTATAAGAAAAAAATATATAGGAAAAATTCATAAATACCCCAGGGATGGGAGGGGAAAACAGGAGGAAAACAAAGGAAGGGGTGATACTGTCCAAAGGGTATTTCTGGCCAAGCGCCAGTGGCTCACACCTGTAATCCTAGCTGCTCAAGAGGCTGAGATCTGAGATTCGCAGTTCTTAGCTGGCATGGGCAGAAAAGTCCTCATGAGACTCTGATCTCCAATTAACCACTAAAAAACCAGAAGTTGAGTTGTGGCTCAATTAGTAGAGCACTAGCTTTGAGCACAAAGAGGCTCAGGGACAGTGCCCAAACCCTGAGTTCAAGTCCCAGAACCAAGTACAAAAATGAGCTCATTGCCTGACTTATGAAATGGTAACCCCTCGGTACAACACTTAATAACAATAAAATTATATTTTAAAAACTATTTTTGGGCTAGGATGGTGGCTCAGTGGTAGAGTGCTTGCCTTGCATGCATGAGGCCCTGGGTTCGATTCCTCTGCACCACATAAGCAAAAAGAAAAAAAAGCCGGAAGTGGCACTGTGGCTCAAGTGGTAGAGCACTAGCCTTGAGCTGAAGAGCTGAGGGACAGCACCCAGGCCCAGAGTTCAGGCCCCATGACAGACAAAAAAAAAAAGTAATAAAAAAAGTATTTTTATAAATTTATAAGCCCTTAACTACGGTGCTATTCAGCACAAAATAATGAAGTGACAAAATTCTAAAGATTGATATATCAAAAATGAAAATCACGGAGCTGGAAGTGGGAGTGCCTGCCTACCATGCGAGAAGCCCTGGGTTCAATTCCTTAGTACCACAGAAACAGAAACAGCCAGAAGCGGCACTGTGGCACAAGTAGTAGAGTGCTACCCTTGAGCAAAAGAAGTTCAGTTCAAGCCCCAGGACTGGCACACACACAAAAAAAAAAAAAAAGAAGAAAAGAAATCATTTCGAACTATCCTAATAATGAATTGAAACACATGACAATATAAAATGCTACAACTGAAACATCAATACAATATTTTATAAATCATTAAATACATTTTCTTCCAACATAAGATATAAATACCTCCAATCCATTTTCTCCACCAAAAAGGCACATATGAGGAAACCAGTGCGATTGAAACCATGGGTACAATGAACACCTAGAAAATAAAGCATTTGATTAATTTTAATACATCACTTTGAAGGACATAATATGTCTTAAAGTTCCAACCTGTCATTAAAATGTTTCAGTTTTTACATTCTGTTTGTATAATTAAAAAGCTTATAACTTAATAATTTGTCTATTTAAGTTACATAGAATGTTTTAGACAAAAGCTCAAATATACTATATTCATTTACTGGTTTAAAACTCTGTCTTACATTTCTCATTAAAAACCCAAAAATTTTAAAGAAGGAGGTATTTTCATCAAACATTGCAAAGCACACACACAAATATATCTCTAATCCACAAACTGAATTTTCCAATTTATCAAATAACATACTGGATAAAAGATCAATGGCACATATGTAAAAGAAAGTCAAAAAAAATCAAGAAACTAGAGCAAAACAAATACAAACTCATCTAGGGATTGCCTGCTAGTTGAAGTTGAAGGTAATTAGCAAAAGTAACTGGCAATAATTGCATAGCACAAAAACACTGAATTATTTTCAAGTCTAAAAACGTAAGAATACCTTAACATTAGCTTATAATCTCTCAAAATAAACTTTTTAGAAGAAACCTGTTTAGGCCGGGCACTGGTGGCTCCTGTCTGAAATCCTAGCTATTCAGGAGGCTAAGATCTAAGGATCACAGTTCAAAGCCAGCCTGGGCAGGAAAAGTCCGTAACCACCAGAAAACAGCACAGTGGCTCAAGTGGTAAAGTGCTTGCCTTACACTGAAGAGCTTAGGACAGTGCCCAAGCCCAGAGTTTAAGTCCCACAACCGACAAAAAAAAAAAAAATCTGTTCAGAATAGGAAATTTATTTTTCCTAAATTCTCTTCCAGGACCAATTCAAGATTATTTTAACTACTTTGAAAATAATAATAATCAGGTGAACATAACTAACATGACAACATTCCTGTCTGGTTAAATGACTCACTTGCAGTTCTCTAAAGTTTTTCCTATTATCTGTGTTAAATTGATGGATGTGATGATATTTAAGATTTTTTTTTCTCTTTTTTGACAGTCCTGGGGCTTGAACTCAGGGCTTAGGCACTGTCCCTGAGCTTCCTTTGCTCAAGTCTAGTTTTCTACCAGCCACTTGAACCATAGCACCACTTCTGGCTTTTTCTATTTATGTGGTACTGAGGAATGAAACCAAGGGCTTCATGCATGCTAGGCAAGCACTCTACCACTAAGCCACATTCCCAGCCCCTAAGATTATTTCCTTTTAATGCTACCTTTTACAAAATACTCTATATGTGCACTGTCATGTTGATAGAGGGCGATCAAAATCAAATATAGAAATGAACTTAGCTAGAACTACAAAATTTCTAGAAGAAAAGAGAGGAGAAAAAGTTTTGTCATCTTAGTATGGAGAAAACCATCTCCAATACAATTCAAAAAGTATAAAATAAAAATTATAATTTAGATTAGTTCAAAATGGTAAATATTTGTTCTTAGAAAGGTGCAACTAATAAAAACATTGGCCATAGAAAATAATCTCAATACACATACATGGCCAAAGGCATATACCTGCAGTATTTAAAGGATTCTTACATTTCACTAAGAGAAATATCCTTTTGGGCAGGGGAGTAATAGGAGTGTACAAGGCTTTGCTACATAGCTAGCTGGCCTCACACTCAATATTTTCCAGTCTCCACCTTTAGAGAGTTGACACCATGTCCAGCTTGTACTTTCTTTTTTTTGAGATAGGGTATCACTATGTATCCCAGACTGGCTGGCCACAAACCTCCAATCCTCCTGCCTCAATCTCCTGAGTGCTAGGATTATAGATGTGGGTCAAGAACCCTGGCACTGACACTTTAATTTTTTAATAGCTGAATGAAATTTTGTGTGTGTGTCTGTGTGCCAATTCTGGATCTTGAACTCAGGGCTTAGGTGCTGTCCCTAAGTTTTTTTGCTCAAGGATATTACTCTACCACTTGAATCATAGCTCTTCTTCTTTTTTTTTTTTTTTTAATTGGAGGTAAGAGTCTTATGGACTTTCCTGCCTGGGCTAGCTTCAAACTATAATCCTCAGATTTCAGCCTCCCAAATAGCTCGAATAACAAGTATGAACCACTAGTGCCCAGCTTAAAACAAGATGAGAGGCCTGGGAATGTGGCTTAGTGGTAGAGTGCTTGCCTAGCAAGCATGAAGCCCTGGGTTCAGTTCCTCAGTACCACATAAGCAGAAAAGGCCTGAAGTGATGCTGTGGCTCAATGGAGTGCCAGCCTTCAGCAGAAGAATTTCAGGGACAATGCACAGGCCCTGAGTTCAAGCCCCAATACTGGCACACACACACAAAAAAGAGAGAGAGAGAGATGAAATGTTAGCAGACACTTTACAAAAGAAGATACATTAGATTAAAAAGCACATGAAGGGGCTTGGATGTCACTCAGTGGCAAAGCACTTGCCTAACAGGTACAACATCCTGGGTTCAATCCCCAGACCAAAAAGAAGACAAAAAAAAAAAATTAAGAAAAAAAAAAAAAAAGAAAACATGAAGAGGCTGGGAATGTGGCTTAGTGATAAGAGTGCTTGCCTAGCATACATGATACCCTTGGTTCAGTTCCTCAGTACCACATAAACAGAAAAAGCTGAAAGTGGTGCTATGACTCAAGTAGTAGAGGGCAAGCCTTGAGCAAAGAAGCTCAGGGACAATGACCAGGCCCCAAGTTCAAGACCCAGGACTGGCAAAAAAAAAAAAAACACATAAAAAGCACATTAAAATAAGGCTTAACATCATTATCAGAATAAATAAATTAAAACTACAATGGGTTCCTAGTATACACTCACTAGAATGGTTAAAATTAAAAGAAGTGATCATATACAGTGTTTGTGAAAATATAGCTGGAAATCATCATACTGATGGAGGAAGAATACAATGCTAAAATCACTTTGGAAAACAATTTGGCAGTCTCTAAGTTACATTCTGCAGATATCAAGTGACCCAGACAATCTAACATTCCTTAGCTAAGGAAAATAAAAATGCATATTCATACATATATTTGCATAAAGTCAAAAGTCCAGAGCAACACAAAGACAAATGTCAATAGCAACTTTATTGATTATGATCAAAACTCCAAATAAACCAAATGTTCATACAATGAGTAACAGTCAACCATAAAAAGGGACAAGTTACTAAGAAATGAAATGAAAATGGTTCATAACCATCTTGCTACGTGAAAAGCACACAGTACATAATTCCATTCACAAAAATATAGAAAATGCAAACTAGCCTACAGTGACAGAAAGTAGGAAGTGATTATCTAATCCACAATTAAGAGATGAGAGCCAGTTGAGGTAGCTAATCTTATACAAAGGAAGCTAAAATACTCTGGTTTAAATGAACAATAGAAATGATCAAGAGAGAAAAGTAATGTTAACAATTAGTAAAACTGTATTATGACTCAAATGTTTCAGTATTTTTATTTAATAAAAAATATTAATGGTTAAGCAGCTGGCCACAGCAGGCCCCAGTTCCCACATAGTCCAACAGCAGCTAACTACCTCCGTACTCCTAGACCACTTCCAGCAGAGATGCCAAAGGTGAAGTCAGAGAGCTGAGACTGGCCGGAGGACTCATATTCAACACATGGATTGGACAAAACATTTTGAAAAAATACTCTGATTGCTAACAGCATTATCGGTAAGGCCACTCTAAGACCAACTGATGTGGTACTTAGAAGTTGGGACTGGCAACATGACTGTAAAGTTATTAGACAAGGCAAAAAAAGGTAGCTGCCTATGAACTTGACCCAAAGCTAGTAGCTAAACTTCACAAAAGAATTCAGGGCACTTCTCTGGTTAGCAAATTTCAAGTACTAGTGGGTGATGTGCTGCAATCTGATTTGTGATTTGTGTGCTTTGATGTGTGCATGAGTGGCAAATTTGTCTGATCAGATTTCTTCTCCTTTTTTCTTCAAGTTGTCGCTGCACCAACCATTCTTCACATGTGCTACAATTAACATTTCAAAAAGAATTTGCTGCTGACTGGCTGCTAAGCCTGGAGATAAGTTATACTGCAGTCCCTCAATTAATACACAGTTGTTAGCCCATTTAGACTATTTAGTGAAAATTGGGAAAAGTAACTTCAAACCACTACCCAAGGTGGAATCAGGTACTATAAGGATAGAACCTAAGAATCCACCACTACCCACCAATTTTCAGGAATGGGTTGGCCTAGTAGGATCACCTTTGTTAGGAAAAACAAGACACTGTCTACTGCATTTAAATCAAGTGCAGTACAATAGCTATTAGGGAAAAAAAACCTACAGAATTCACTGTTCGGTCCATAATATTGTAACAGAAGATTTCAGTATAGCAGATAAAATACAACAAATCCTAACCAGCACAGGTTTTAGTGACAAATGGGCCCATTCCATGGACACAGATAACATCATCAAATTGCTACATTCATTCAATACAGAGGTATCCTTTTTATTTTTTATTTTTGTTATTGTTGTTGTTGTTGTCAGTCACAGGGCTTGAACTCAGGGCCTGGGTGCTGTCCCTGAGCTTTTTCACTCAAGGCTAGCCCTCTACCACGTTGGCCCACAGCGCCACTTCCAATTTTCTGATGGTGAATTGGAGGTATGGACTTTCCTTCCAGGGCTGTCTTCAAACTCAGATCTCAGCCTCCTGCATAGCTAGGAGTACAGGCATGAGCCACTGGCACCCGGCTCAGAAGGGATACATTTTTCATACTATTTGGAAAGTTTCTTCTTCAAGGTCAAATATATACACACATACATATATACACACACATATATATACATAAAAACACATACATAAATCCCAGCATTTGAGAGGTTGATCAGGAGAAATGTGAGTTCAAGGCCAGCCTGGCTACAAACTGACCTCAAGGTCAGCCTGGACTATGTAACAAAACCCTGTATGGAGGGTTTCTTTTGGTTGCTGTTTTTTTTTTAATTTTAATAAAATGATTATTCTTTTACATGTAAAAAAAAATTATAAAGGCATTGACACCCATG